GTATCTCTGGCTTACCAGAAAAACACTACTCTACGCGAGATTTATGTGTTCATCGATCCTTGCAAACACAGCATACAGATTTTGCAAGTGTTTTTCTCCGGTCTTCCACAGACTAATATGTCGTCAAGATAGGTTGCCACACCTCGCAACCCGCTCACCATCTTGTTCACGATTTGCTGGAAGATCTCTGGTGCTGCCTTTATTCCAAAAGGCAGTTTATTGTACTGGTACAATCCTCTATGCGTATTTATCACTACCATTACTCGCTTCTTCTACAACTCGACCTGCAGATATGCGCCATATAGGTCTATATGCGAAAACTCCATTGAGCGATGCAAATATATCATCCGGCAATGGTAAAGGATAATCGTATGATTCCAGCGCTTTGTTAAGTCCAGTTGAGAAGTCAGCGCACACTTTCAATTTTCCATTTGCCTTTCTGACACATAGGATGGCTGCCCTCTTACTATGTGTCATTGGGCTTATAAAGTTTAGTTCCAATAGTCTATCTAACTCCTTTTCCACAGCTTCGAGTGCAGCATGTGGGATGGGCTTACAAGGTTTGAAAATTGGACGTGCACTTTCATCTATCTGCATGTGTGCTTTCTCCTTCGTACCTAGTCCCAAGCCTTCTTTGCAAACTTTCGGAAAAGCTTCTTTCAGGTTCTGAGCGATGTCATTGTTTTGTTTCGATTTCACTTCAGCAGTCATCCTGTTCAAATGATAGGACATCTCATCGTTCTTCTAAATCCACTCCACTCCTAGCAACGAGTTGTGAGGTGTCACATATGCGTAGCCTTCGCTCTTGGAGCCTTTCATCTCGTAGTCTCACCGTAGCTTTCCATCTTCATGGAGCCTCCATGCAATAGAAGGGTATATAAGAATAGAAACAATAGAACATGAGAACATACTAGCAAACTTTGACTTCGACGCCATTAGTCGTGAGTAATTCGAATTGGGTGAGTCTAAGACAGCTAAAGACCTTCAAATGACTTGTAGAATATCCTGACGGAAGATTGATCGCCGATGCCATAACTGAGAGCAATGTGCCAAATTCAGTCTAATACCCTATGCTGCTTCATGTATGATCTACACAAACCTAGATTGAAAATTCGTTAGCTATTCGTTAGCAACACAAAGGTAATCTTGTTGCAATTGATAAATCGACTGCAGATGTGGACAAAGCTGGATGCTCGGCCAATGTTTTTGAAAAAGCATTTCAAAATGAATGGTCCGGGGGTGAAATCTAAACTTTGTTGCGCTGGCCAAAGTCCAATTTGCTAATTTCTGTCTTTGCCAATGAATTTTATCGAGTCGGAATCGACATAATCTGTGGTCCTCTTAAATACTTCAACTTGATGTATGTCAAGGGCTGAATATTTCGATGGCGATTGTCCTTTATTATACCCACACCTAAAAACAAGCCTCGCACTTGCCCCGGTACCTATCAGTATTACTTCGATTTTTGGCCGTACTTGAAAAGAAAAGTATAGTTAAACACTTACAAAGAACAAGTCTTAAATTTTGGTCAGCATAAAATCTAAAAAGGAAGTTCTACTATAATTGCTTGCTATCCATCCCTTAAATGAATGGCCGTGAAAAATTGAGGATGGCTTGAAAGCGGATGTTATCTATATGATTTTGCCAAGGCTTTTGACACCAAGGTTCAGCATAAGAGACTTCTAGAGAGCTCGCAATTGTAGGTATACATTCGCAGATCATTGCTTGGACGAGAGCCTTTTGAGTGAAACATTTATCGTATGAATCAATAGCTCCTTCTTCAAACCAAGAAAAATGGGTAGTGGAGTCCACAGGAAGGTTACCGGTATTGTTTAACATTTATACCATTTATACATTTATGACCTTGTCTTGTCTCGCTTTTTATAGGAGTCTAATGATTACTCAAGTTGT